ACGGTAGCCTGTGCCTGGGATCTTGAGCTTGACCCTGAAGTCATCATAAATTTAATCCATTCGGAAAGGTCCGTACCATAGGTGGGCTAGCTTACGGCTCAGCCCTGTGGGGACTTTGGGAATATACAGCCACACCGAGTCGCCGGTTTCAAAACCTGCCTTTACACGATCTGAGAGTTCTCTCCACTTACGAGTCTATGCAGCAGATCTCGCACGCTTTTCCTTCTTTTGCAAGTCTTCAGCGCACGCGATAGCATAGCTATAGTCCCGTTGCATCTTCCGACGCCACTCCAAGGCCGTTCGTTCTTGGACTGTGGATGGCTTCGGGCTCGATGGCTTCGGATCCAGTATTGCGGATATGGTTCCCTGGGCGTCCCAGCCGTGGACCAGGTAAAACGGAGTATCTAATCTTGCAGCGTCGAACGAGGTATTCAGAGCGAACATGAGACGTTCTGCATGCTCGTCTCGGTCACTCTGGTCAACTTCAGCGACATACGCTCTGACACTACGCATTACCGTTTGGACTGAGCGTTCTTGCTGGCCATTGACGTATCCTAGCGTCGCACGTTGCTTACTTTTCAGAAGGCCTCTGAACCTAGCGAAGACCTTGCTCATGAAACGGGGGTCCTGATCATGTCTGATCATTGAACTCGCCCCAAATCTTCTGAATACGCACTCTTCGTATGCCTCAGCAACGTCTTGGACTTCGGTATTCCGCATGGGTTTGCACATGTCATATCCTGAGAATTGATCTTGGAACAGCAACAAATATGTATTTCCACGATCAGACTCAGGTAGCTCAGTGACAAAATCCATGGAGACCACCTCGAACGGATATCTCGGTTCGATATTGCCAGGCGACGGACCGAGAACCGGTGGTCGCCCCTTGGCTGACGCACAATCTACGCATTTTCTCACGAACTTCTGTACGTCAGCGTACATCCCGATCCAGAAGAACTCTGAACGTAATCGCTCAAACGTCCTGTTGATTCCTTGGTGGCCGACATGAAAATCTTCGTGCGAGTAGTGTAACATGTCGGCGCGTAAAGTCTCTGGGACTACCAACCTGAGTTCCGACTGCTTGTTGCGAGGTCTCTCAGGAGTGGGTGTGCTCAGTCTGTAGAGGACTTCTCGCGAATCTAACACAAACTGATCGGAGACCTTCGCAATCTTCTTGACCTGGTTCCGTGGAAGATCTGACACGTCTTTTAGGACCGACACATCTCCTCTTAGGACCCTCTTCATTTGTTGGATCCAGAAGTCTTCGTCTTGGTGAACCTTGATCCTCCTCCAGCGTTCATCCTGGTACCCAGACTGGTCTACAGGAGTCCGAGAACTTACACCCGCTTCTGCTCGTGACCTCGTCATCACCATCAATGCTTCCGCTGCAGTAGCTAGAGACTCTGGTATTCCAGCATCAGAGCTATCAGTCCTAGTTCGGCTTGGTCCGAGCGGACCACATCGGTCACAGGGGTGCCTGGGTTTTCCGAAGGCTTCATAATCTTTTCAGGGATTCTGGATATAAAACGCAGATGCACTATCTCATCAGGGTCATCGAGCTCCCAGGACTCTCCAAGCACGAAAGTCTTAGAGGTCAGGTAGTCGGCCGCTTGGTTGAACTCACGTTTAACATGAATCAATTTAACCGACACGAAACTCTTTATGAGATCTTCATACTCGGCTAAGCGTCGTTGCAGGTTGGACTGGTTGCAATTAATCAGACCCTGAGCCTGTTGGACGACGATTCGGAAATCACCGACTACCACAAGCTCATTGACACCACACTTCATAGTGAGCTTTAGCCCCAGGATCAGACAATGGTATTCAGCATCGTTGACCGTCACACCTTCAAGGATGTGTCCTTCAGCTTTCACAACCTGCCACCCGGGCAGCTTCCCCAGTATGCATCCACAACTTCCTTGGCGAGTAGAGACCTTCGTAGCGCGATCAAAACTCAGAACGTAGCCTTGATAATCTGCTTCCAACATTTCCAGCCTTACTGGTGGCATCACTTTCAGACGCCCCTTGGCAGGAATCAGGGTTTCTGCAACTTCATCTAAATGTTCCCTGGGAGTAATACTAGACCCAAGGATGGCCGCAAGGCCGTCCTCATCTTTCTGAGTCCGATGGATATCCAGTGTCCATCTTGATAGCTCCAGTCCCCACTTCAGATGTCGCCCATCTGCAGTGCTGGATTGACGTAACCACTTTAATACAGAGTGGCGCGTGTACACCACAACTGGGAATTCGGACCCATGGATCAGAGGTCTGAAAACTTCCAGAGTCCGCAAGATTGAGAGCACTTCTTTCTCAGCTATGTGGTAACGCAGCTCTGATTCCTTCAACACTCTGCCAGTAAATCGCACGGGGTGTATGAGTCCTTCATGCCCCTGACCCAAAACAGCACACGCCGCCCACGGGTTAGCATGCGGGATTATCACGAAAGGCTTGATTCTGTCTGGATGTCACAACAGCGGGGTCGACACGATCTTACCCTTCAGTATCTCGAAAGACTGCTTTGTGGCTTCCAGGTTCCGTCCAGCACGTACACGTTCCTCGTCTTGTTCGTAGAGCACAGCGGCAACTACTGGTAAGTCTTCAATAAACTTGTTGTAATAATTCAGACTTCCTAAGAAGGACTGCACTCGCTTGTACGTCGACGGGAAAGGTAAATCCTCTGTACCTTTGACAATCTTCGGCAAGGCCCTGATTCCGTCCGCACTCACTTCATGAGAGAGGAATGGGATGGTCAACTTCCCGAATTCACTTTTCGGTAAGCTCACAGAGATATTCCAGTATCGTAGTCTGTACAACAACGCGTCCAGGTACTCACATAGCTGGTCCCAGGTCAACGCCCCAAGAGCGATATCGTCAATATACGAGCTTCTTCCCAAGACCGGGACCATTTGTGACGGAGCCGGGATATTGCGTCGAAATACAGTCATGTCCAATGCCGTGATCTCTGAATCCCGCATATCTACTTCATGTTTCAGGACCTCTTGCGGCTCAAGATTCAAAAACTCCAGAACTTCTTGGTCAACCAACGCTTCCTCTTCAGGAGGTAGACGGACGAATCCCCACAGACAGTTATTGATGATGCTCTGATAAATTAACGGCGAATTCTTCAATCCAAAGGGCATTCCGAGCAATTGAAAGTGGTCGAACGGGCAGACAAACGCAGAGATCAACTTCGCACGTTCGGCCATTCGCACCGCACAGAATCAAACACCATATCCAGACTCATAAACCACATCGCGGATTTGAAATCTACCAGCAGATCATCGATCAGAGGTAGGGGATAACGGGATAGCTTAAATGAGCAAATTCAGAAGCCGGTAATCAATACACATCCGGATGTCTGTGCCGTTTTTCTTCAACACAATCACAATAGGTGATGACCACTCGGACTCTGAATGCTTAATGAGCTCCGCCTCCAGCAACTTCTTCAGGAGTTCAAACACTTTCACCAAAACCGGTGCGGCAATCTTTCTCGCACGTAAAGCCACTGATTTTGCTTCTCCAACGTCGATGTCACACACCACGCCCCTAGCCGGGGCTGGAGCCGCGTTGCCATCTCCCAGGAAGATGCTGCGATGGCGTTTCAGGATCCCTCTCATCTTGGCTTCCATCTCTGGAGTTGTGACCCCTGGAACTCCGACATTAGCTTCGTCGATGTTACACTCTGGGGTCAGTTCCTCAATTTCTGGGA